TTTAAAAATTGCAGGATACAGTATGAACTTACATTAATTAAATAAATATTTGAACTTTCCTTGTATTGATTATTTATCAATTAACCTTTGTGGCATGTAAAAACAAAAGAAAGGTAAAGAAGGTGATGACGTTATCTATATATGAGCCGCGTACGTCATGACAAAACCAGCATAATGGGTTTGCGACCATCCGCGCAGGCTGGTCTGGATCCATGCTGGTCGCAAACGCACTTTGTTGGTTTTGTCGTGACACGGCTCAATTATGAGGGTTGTGACTTTTTTCATAATTGCTTTATTTACAGGCAGTCGTGTCAATATTTCAGCTTGAATATAGTTTAATATATATACCATCTATAAAATATATCGTACACATATCTAATGGAAGGTCAATTTTAATCCGACATCCCGCGTCACAACCCAACTCTAAGAGAATAACGGGGACTTTAACTTAAGCACTGCGAGCTTGGCGTATATCCTGCTTTTTTGCACATCCTCCACCAGCCCCCACAACAACACCGATGTAATATCTGCTCTTTTCCGCTGCTACCAATAAGCATTGTCCTGGAAGTTGAGACCGATGTAACAATCGATGTGTGCAGTGGTGGTTCTATCACGATGACACTTCATGTCTTCAATATTATAACGTGCATACATTTACACAAAGGTTTCTTCCACAATCACAAAGCAAGAAATGCTCAATTTAGCTTATATGAGTGACGGAGCAGTCTAATGCCATACATGTAGTGATTTTGCACTGGGCATTCCTTTCATGGTAAACTTTACCGTACAATTGTAGTTCAAGCTGTGTGTTTCTTCTTTCTCCGTTCTACAATTCTTTTTTCTTCGCCATTGTGTATCACATAAAAAATGTAGAATAATCCATATAAGGTAAAAGTAGAGTTAATTAATACAAAGGCCCATATATAGGCATATTGAGTATGGTTGTTAATTTGATATGGGAATATAATGACGCAAACCTTCATGTTGCTTTCTATAAATGATGACTTAATTATCTCAAGATATGGGTAAGCATACGAGAATGCTAAAATAAGACAATAATGAAAAGACTCTTAACATGGAAACAAGAATAGCGCAAGAAAGGGAATATTTTGATCTGGAAATAAAGAAAAAAACTTTTATTTGCTATTCTTACCCAATTTGAGTTTAAAAGCGTAGCAACGCATTTTATGTCATTTTTTCACAATTAGAATAATAATTCTTGAAAAACTGATTGAGCGAATGATCTGAATTTATGCTCACAAGTTATTGAATAGCATGGTATGGGATAATATGAGCCGCGCCATGACAAAACCAACGTAATGCGTTTGCGACCAGCATGGATCCAGACCAGCCTGCGCATCCGCGCAGTCTGATCAGGATCCATGCTGTTCGCTTACAAACCCTATAACAAGCAGAGAAACTGATAGCGAACAGCATGGATCCTGATCAGACTGCGCGGATGCGCAGGCTGGTCTGGATCCATGCTGGTCGCAAACCCATTATGTTGGTTTTGTCATGACGCGGCTCATATTATCTATGGTGGCTGATTTCTGCCTTTTCGTGTCTTCGTATCTTCGCACCTCAAAAGTCGGAGGCGGAGACATGGAGACACGATAATATGCTCACTTAAGGAGTCTTCTCTTTGACTTTTGAGGGCGCCGATACGAAGACATTTTAGCGGAATTAAAATATTCGTAATCCTAACGTTATCCATACACGGTAAGATCGATGTATGCAGTTGGGAAAAAACAACAGAACTTTATTTCTTTATTGTAATTGGAATACTGAACATGTGTGAATGTACTATCAATATCACATTACCAGCTGTAACTCTTTCAACTGTTATGAGCTGTAACTCTTTTGTAATGACATCATGACCCTGGTTAAATTTCTAATTTTACACTACATTCACAAACGTCTTGGGTAGATTGCGACAGTGCAGGAGGCAAGCACGGCTATGGCGGAAGAGTCACATGGTAACTGTTAGGTTTGCTGTGTTATCGTACACTACGAAAATAGTTACAGTCAAATCTATGGGTTTGTAAGCGAACAGCATGGATCCTGATCAGACTGCGCGGATGCGCAGGCTGGTCTGGATCCATGCTGGTCGCAAACGCATTATGTTGGTTTTGTCGTGACGCGGCTCAAATTTAGTACCTCTTCGGCTCTTGGTCTAATACTAACCTCGATCACCGGTTATTGAATTTTCTAACCGGTTTCGGTCTGAAAACCGACCGAACCCGTTGAAATGTAATAACATGTCACCCCTAATTGAAATCTTTTGTATCATTAACTGATGAACAATCATCGATTTCCCTCCCTGTACTTAATAGACTGTAATCATATACAGAAACATACATCGCTTTGCATTTACAAAGATTTAAACCTCCGATTCTTGAGTAAAGATAAAAATATAAACAACACAGCCAACGTTTCTATCAAAATTTTTCATTCAGTCATGTTTAATTGAAACCACCTTCTAACGCATTTCTTATATTTACAAGGACGAAAATTGCATAATACGATTAAAACGTCAATACTGTAATGACGTGATCTGACATTATGACGTCAATTTTTAACAGCTCCAAAATCACTCTACGCTTTTAATGGATCTGTTTTTTCGGTAATTGTAATAGGACACCAAAGTTAAAAATGTTAAGAAATGGAAAATATAGCGTCTGAAGGCTTAACGGTCCTTCTACTGTACATGTATGTGTTTTCTCCCAAAACTGTACTAAAAGATATCAAGGATTGTTGTGAAATGTCCATTCTTGTATCTTTTAAGTCATTGGCCTAATTAAAACCTATTTCCGAGCATTGACGGACATAGATCATTTGCTCGATAATTAAAGAAGTATCCTATCACCGTAAACCGGTCATTAGATGACTGTATCATGGTACGGCATTTATCTGACGTGTTTTCAATTACAAATACTCCCGTTTTATTATGGTAATTACATGGTTTACAACAGTATACGTATTTAAATGTCATGATTTTTCTTAAATGTGGAGTAAGAATAATAGTTAACAACGGAATTGATCATCCACGTGAAAAACAATCTATCTATTCTCCCAATTAAGATTCTTACATTTTAATGTTTACAGACATGTAAAAGCACAATTATATTGCAGTAGGCCTTCTCTTTGTTTAACCCATTACTTCATGAGCATTTTGTGAAAAATGGCTGTTTTCATTGAAAAGTCTCCCGTTACAAGTTCAAATTGCTATAATACTATAAAAACTGCTTCAACACTAATCAAACTTGGCACAAATGTTGACTGGACCATTGCCCTTGCAACAACATGCTCAGGCTTAAATTTTCTGTTACCATGGCAACGAGGGGACATCTCAAAATTGCCAAAAATCACTATTTTGCGTTGATTTTTTCCATCAAAATTGATTTCAAAGTGCTGCAACTTCTCAATGGATTGATATAGAGTCATATGCTTTTCAGCGTTGGTTACACGTTACCTTATGATCAATCTGGGGTCATTTACAGCCTCTCACAAGTCTAAAATTTTCTTGGCGATGAGGGGGACTCCGCCCCCCTTCAAACCCCCCAAACAGAAGGGGGCACATCCCCCTTCTGGCAACACCCTGATGTATCTTTTGGTTGGGGGCCGGGCCGAAAAAAAGGTCACTTTTTTTAACAACATATCTCAAACAAAAACAAGTGTTTGGGGCCTAAATAAGGCATTTTTTCATCATTTGAGACAACAAAAAGGGGGGGGGGTGAAAAAGGCGTTAAAAGGCGTGTATATGAAGTAATGGGTTAAATCAGTTTAATACCAGAAAAACGGGTTCGCAAGTCATTTGATTATATCAGAGATGCGAGATAAAATTGAAGAAAAAAAAAGAGTCAAAATATCCCGATTTTAAATAATATTAACGCAAAACATTAAAAAAGCTCTGTATTTTTAACAGGCTGCCGTCCTGTATGTTAGAATGACGCATATAGACCAAATGCTATAATTTGTTTTTTTTACATATTAATATAATGCTTAGTTATAAGTGCTATATCATTCAAGTGTTTATTACTGAGAGGACCAAGTCTTGTCCATGTTTGTTTTTTTTGGGTTTTACGTCACATCGACACAGTATAGGTCATATCGCGACGTTCCAGCTTTACTGGAGGAGGAAGACCTCAGGTGCCCTTCCGTGCATTATTTCAGGCACGAACGGGCACCTGAGTAGAACCACCGACGTTCCGTAAGCTAGCTGGATAGCTTCCTCACATGACAGAATCCAAAGTCCCTGTCGGGATTCGAACCCACAGCGGTGAGGGGCAAGTGGTTTGAAGTCAACGACCTTAACCACTCGACCACGGACGCCCCTCTTGTCCATGTAACTTTTAACCATATAAAACTCAGTGCTTAGCATCTGCCATTAATAAAGAACAAGGGCAGACTGCACGGGTGTGTTGTTGGATTAGTCACAAGATCTTTATCTTCATACATGTAAATGATTAAGGACATTTCCAAACATGTGAGAGATTTAAGAAATTCAGCAGGTTATGAGTTAACACGAGGCACATGTCCCGTCAGTTTTGGAATAAAAACATGTGCCATTTCAACTTTTATGTTTCAAGTCACACCGTTTCGGTCATATGCCAATTTTTTAGCTTTGCTGGTGGAAAAAAATACATCAGGTGTCCTTCAATTAATTACACGTATTTCAAACACAGGGAGCAAATTAAAATGACTAAAACTAAATTTACAAAACGAATGAAAGAATTCGCTCAAGTGAAAATCGTCCCAGGCGGGATCAATCCCGAATCCACAGGAGTACGTTATTCATGTTTGGTGAGCTCAACATTTGGTGGGCTGGCTTCGCGGCAAATTGTTTAAAAAGGCAGTGGTCTGAAATTGTAATACCAAATTCATACTCTGGAAAAGTACAACAAACAATACCTATCTCCCTTCCATAGCAGCTTCACAGAAACATATTTTCCAACATGTGTGACCAAAATAAGGGAGAACAAGAGAAAAGAGAAACCTGGTTTTTCAGTATTTATTTTTTTAAGTAAAATATGAATGAACAAATGATTGCATATCTTAACTAACGGTGTATTATCTACAGATGACAAGAAAAATATGTCGCACAGTACGTAAAGAAAACAATACAAGTCAATACAATATCAATTAACTATATAATGTATCTTATTGTTTATTTTAGTCCCTTGATTTAATAATGAAGAAAGAAAATCAGGTAACATTCACAAGTTACCTAATGTCAGATCAAGCTGGCAAATAAGTACCACATAGACACCACCAACCTTCCGAAAGCTAGCTGCATACCCTCTTCTTCACACGAAAGAATCAGTAAGTATCAGACAGGGATTTAAACCTTCAATTATCAGGGGCAAAAAAAACCAGCTATGACCTTAAACAAAACACTTTTAATAAAAAGAATCAAAAGTTTAAATGTCTCTTGTATTTGCAACTGCTCATTTTATAAGTCAAGATTCAATAAACCAATATATTTATATATATATAAATAATATATTTATATATAAGTGATGCTTTGACAACACCTTGATTTCTTCTTGATCATATAAAATTTACTAGTACTTCAATAGATATCTTTAAGTAAAACATGAAAAGAAATCAAATAAAAATAACTGCAAAATAAAACATTTAAAGCATTTAAAGTAACTAATTCCATAAGAATTTGTGCTGTAAATCTTGTAACTTTGACAATAAGGTTTGGTGACATATTATACATGTATATAAAAGATGTCTTAAACATACAGATACCCAGTTTTTTGTTGCAAACTGGGTGTTGCTATGTAATGATGGGTGACACAGACCCCACAATATCTCTGACAAAATATCACTAGAAAAAGTTTATAAATTGATAAAGCTTTCCAAAATACTACCTACTGCATCCTTTATGATTAAACATCAGGATGAAGGAAAAACAATAAATTCAGTTATTACAAATTAAATTCAGCAACATGAACTCTGCACACATTAAATACAGAATAAAAGCAAGCAAATGAAAAACTATTACAACTTTCATAACAAAGTTTTCACAAGCAACCAATCATAATATAGTCTATAAATAACCATGTTTAATTATTTGTAAAACTGGTGAATTAGTTTTGATTTTACTCATCTACTAGTCACATCAGTTATAAGACAGGGGGTCTAAATCTTACATTGTAATAGCAGCATTTAAACTTTCAAATGAGATTGGTTCAAATTCACCTCACAAATACTTGTTCATAAAGTTTAACAGACAGTTTTTGATACATATGTTTAAGAGACAAAAATCTCAGGAAAGTGGCGCTCAATTTCATAGTAAGTTTGTATGTTTCACTGTGAAATTCAAGAATTTCATCTAGTATCAATATCACTTTATTGCAGAAGTATCAGACAGCAGCAGCAAGTACAAGTTTCAATTTAAATATTCCATTTTAATTACACTCCAGACACAGACAAAATGGAATTAACACTAAACTGTTGAATATAAAAACGAAACAAAAATTTTAATTATTGAAGGTAACAAAAAAAAAACACCCAAAAAACATGACATTTGATAGTGGTAAATGTCTCCGATAGGTGATTATATGAAGGCGTATTTCTACGATAAATGTCTGAAATAATGTTTTTATTAACAAGATTTGTCTGGCTTTTCCCATATTTATAAACCCTTTAAAACTTTAAGTATTTCAGAATTTTAAAATAAGACACCATTTACAGATACACAAATTAACTTGCAGACAAGCTGAGTTTTACAGTCGCAAAAACGGAGACTTAAAAAATTTAATTTTCTTTTTTTGTATAGAATTTTGCTATTTTTTATTTAACAGCAATAACAGTCCATGCGATATTTGATAATATTTCCAGAATTAATACCAATAAAATTTTCAAAATCTAAAACTTGTTCACTTTGACCTTCAGAATTCTAAAGATAGTTAAAATGATTATTTCTGATATATTTGTGATATAACCTTAATATAATAATCCCAGTTTCAATTTAAAACTTATATGCTCAAATATTGCCTAAATGTTGAGCTAGCCGTGGGATTTTTTTTCTTCTTATTTTTGTGAGTTTTCAAGATTAAAATACAAAATTACAGTATTCTAAATTCCAATAAGACCTATCTCCTGCCTATATCTTATGTAATCTACTCCTTGATAATTTCAAATATTTGATATTTTTGACAAGACTATGGCTAACACCACTGTAGATAAATCTATGAAATATCATTAGATATGATACATCTACACATGATTTATACAAATTCCAATTTTGCTTACTTATTACAATAATGCCCAGTTCAAATACATATTTGTATTTTAGACAACAATTTTGAATCAAACTCAGTCAACAAAATACCACCTGCTTAAGGTAAATGGGTAAGGAGTTACATTTTGGATACTATAAAAGTACACCAAAAAAAGGCTTTTATGAAATAAAAATAAAAAGCATTTATGAGGCATAATGGGCCTTCAAACAAAATCTTTTGAACAGATCAAATATAAATTATGTTATACAATAGGTAACATCTGGAGAACTGTGAGATGATACAATATAAAAGGAAATACTGTCATTTCTGACTTACAGTTATAATGGAGGGAATTTGTATAAGTTATTTAGCAAAATTACCTGAAAAAAAAATCTACATGTGAAGCCTTTTGCTACCTTTGCAATAACAGAATATTGCTCGATAAATAAGAATAGATGGTCTTTTTATTAGGAAAAATACATCCCCAATGAAATTAACCTTGGTTAAATAACATAAAACCAAAAGGTATAAGCTTATTGAAAGTACCAAGATGTCATACATCAAAGATATCAGTCAATGAGGTGCTACAAAGTACAGAGAATGACTGTAACAGAAAGCAGGATGGAAAGAAAAAGAATGAGAGAATTTATAATAATTGAAGAGACATAAAAAAATAACAGTATATTAAACGTAAATTGGTTCACCAATAACAAGTAATGACAAATTCTTTGGGTTATATTCACAAGTAAATTGGGTCACTTTACAAGAAATTGGGTCACTTCACAAGGCAATCATTAAAAGATGCTTGTAAAATAGCTTCAGTAACTTCAACACAAGTTACACTAGCACATAAGCACTGGCAAAATAAACACATGTTTAAAAGCATATTTGCAGCTGTAATTCTGCTTGATAAACATTTAATAAAAATTTGCAAAAACAATGATTCCTTCAGAAAAAATAACAAACAATGCAAAAAACATGAAACTGTCACTTCCTCTAGAAATGTAGTGCATAATTTATTGCTATGTTAAATGTAATGACTCCAAGATGAATGCATAATACAACTTTTAAAACTATGACCTGAAAAAAATGTTATTGATAAATTCAGATATGAACATTTGTCATTATTTCCGGTATTAAAGCACTCTAAAACAGTAGTGTGTAAGTAGTTTACACACCATTCTTTGTTATCTGGAGTTCTTTGGTGTACTTGAGATGCTGCGATGACTTCGGCTTGACGTGTCAGCACTGCTGCACGATGAGGAACGCCGAGCGCGACGCTGGTTGCTGCCATTGGGTGTTACTGACCTTGACCTTGATCCAGATCCTGACCTTGAACCTGACCTTCCCTTTGACCCAGATCGAGAAACTCTTCTCCTGTAATAAAGTAATGCAGAAAATTGTTAAACTAATAAGGCTTACAAATTTCATACAGCATAAAACATGTAGAGACAAAAAAATATGATCAAGAGTGAAAAAAAAATAATTTGAACACCATGTTCATAATGTAAACCAAACCATGACAGTTACATCTAAATGAGTAAATATAGGAACTTAACTTTCATAAAAAATTCCACAATTTCACAAACCATGGAGTGGAATCTGCACTACACTTTTTTTTTCAATCATAACTAGAAATGTGTCCATAGGACACGGGTGCCCCCCTATTCCGGCCACTGTTTTGTCAATCTTATGACTCGAGGTCAAATCTTTTTGGGCTACATGTGCCACAAGTTAAAAACTAAAAATCTTTTACTAAGCAAAGGGCAAGAACTTTACAAATACTGAATAAATCCACAAGCAAACCCAAAGTGTGTAAGTACACATGCTGACCAACTTTCTTGAAAACTTTCAGGCCTACAGGTCAAATACTTTTTCTAAGCTATGCATGCTGATCAACATTTCTGTAAAGTTTTATGACAATAGGTCAAATACTTTTTGAGCTATGTGCCACACAAGTTGAAAATTGCAAATTTTTACTAAGTCAAGGGCAATAACTAAGGGTGTAACGGTTTACCGGTATACCGATATATTGCAATATGAAAAAATAAATTTCGAACCGCGGTACGATTTTTGGAAAACCGGTATTTTATAAAAATCATCATTTTCAATTAATTGCCTTCTAATTTTGTACAAATTTCACATAAAATCTTTAATTGGCAAAATTTGTTGGGGCCAACGTAAGATAAAAGTATCCGACAACTAGTACACTTAAAAGTCAATAAGCGGCCGCATAATTTACATAAGCGGCCCAGATGTGAAAGGTCACACGCGACTAGTTTTGTTTATCAAATTGTGTGACACTACTTTCTATTTATTCCTTACATTTTTATTAAGTTTCTACTAAAAATATATACATATAATAATAATATATAAATGTTACTCCATCTTTACATCAAAACATATACACGACAATACGTATTGCAATATATTGCAATACGCTTCAGCAAAATGGCAATATATTGCAATATGGTTTTTGCTGTATTGTTACACCCCTAGCAATAACTCTGACAAAACAGAATAAATTCTCAAGCGAAACCCCAGGTGCACAACTTCACATGCAGATCAAGTTTCCAGTAAAGTTTCATAACTCTAGGTCAAATCCTTTTTGAGTTATATGCCACACAAGTTGAAAATTGGAAAGTTTTTACTAAGTCAAGGGCAATAACTCCACAAATACTAAATAAATCCACACAAAAATACCCAGTTGCACAACTTCACATGCTGAGCAACATAAATGTAAGGACCATGACTCTAGGTCAAATACTTTTTGAGTAACATGGGACACAAGTTGAAAATTGCAAATTTTTACTATATCAAGGGTAATAACTTTACAAATACTAAATAAATCCACACAAAAATACCCAGGTGCACAGCTTCACATGCTGAGCAACATTACTGTAAAGTTTTATGACTCTAGGTCAAACACTAGTTGAGCTATGTGCAACACAAAATGAGAACGGACGGACGGACAGACAGACGGACAAGGGTAAATCTAAATGTCCCCCCCTAAAGTGGGGGCACAATAAAATCTGATTGAAGGTGACAAATTTACTACATATCCAAAGCATATATATTTAGATAAACATTCACAATTATTTCTGCTTTAACATAAGAACAGTTTATAAACTCCAACTGCACTTTACATTATATGATACATGCACCAATTCCATGTTATGACCTTGACCTTTGAGCTAGGAACTAGAGTCTTGCAAGCAACATATTGTTTACATATGTTGGTCGTATCCACCAATTTATTCAGAAACCCCATCTTTAATTCAGAGGTCATAGACAAGACGCAAAGTATGTTTAAATACAGTTAAACACCTTCTCCCCCAACAAAACATTTTATGGCAGGAGCATATAAACCTAACAACAGCCCTTAATTTTAAAATTTTCACAAAGTTCACAAAAGGGCCATTTTCTTTCTTCAAATCCATGTTACAGTTATAGGCCTTGGAGAGAGTCCTATTATGCTCTAAAAGAAGTGTATAAAATTTCAATATGTTTCAAAGCCAGATGCAAATGGAATATGAATATATCTGAGGTGGTACGCAAACTTTTTACATAAATTCTAAGAAAAAGGGGCACAATTCTGTTAAAATGCTTGATAGTGTTACCTCCTGTCTACAGGTTGGGGGCATGATGGTGAACAAGTTTGCAAAGTTTCAAAGCCATATGCCAATGCACTTTAAAAATATTTGAGGTGTTACACAAACTTTAACATAACAAACTTTTACATAGATAAGCAAACGCTCGAGTGACTAGGATAGCTCTACTTATCATATTCTCATCAAATTTTAAAGGTGCTTAAAAAGGGCTAGAAGGCTATACCACCACCTCCCATTCATCAACAGTAACAACATGGTAGCAACATACCTTTTATTTTTTGATGCCCTTCCCGAGTCAGTGTCTGAATCTGAGGTACTAGAGCTAGATGACCCAGAGCTGCTACTGTCAGAGTTGAAGCCTGTCGGAACCTGAAGGTCAACTTTCTCTGCCATTGCTGCAACTTCTGGCCGTACCTCCTGAATCATCATCATTATTTGATTAAAACTGATTTAATTTAAACATGTATTAAGTATAACCCTATACATCCAACAAAATCTATGGTATATATTATATATTTCATTATTATATATGATACTGATACCTGTTCAAACCTATTATACCTTTTTTTCCCATATTTTTTCATATACAATATTCACATTGTAACAACATTAATTACAAATCAGGGCAATGAAAATACTTCATACAAAATATACAAAACCATTTTACTACTTTATGTTAATATTTTTTTGATGTTCACATGACAAATGTCTTAGTGTGATATCAGAGCAGTAATTTTACAAAGTTATGTAATGATAATTAAAAGCAGCACATCTCTTGATACATGATATTTTTTCTGACTTCTTAAATATGTAGTCAGCTTATATAATAAAGGAGTTAAAAAATCTGGAAAAAGTGTGATCCCTCGGAAGCATTAATTACGACAAAATTACATGAAAATTGCAGTGAGTCTGTACCTGAGGGACAATGAAAAAGTGCAACATCCCTCACACCCTCTAGCACCGGCTTGAGCGGTACTCAAAACCTAGTCTTAGGCACTAATTTTTGTTCTTAAATTACTTTCACATTAAAACATATGTAGAAATTATTCTAAATAGGTTATGAAAACTTATACACAAATATACATAATAGTGCTTGTAAATTCCGTCATATTTTGCATGAGATTTAAAAAGTTTTAATCATGAAAATTTACCTATTTCTTAAACTGTTCATATATATTCCTAACAATTGATTTTCTGAAAAAATTGTTAACTCACTTGGAGACACAAAGTTATTTTTTACCTGTAATTTCTTTAACCATTTCTTTGAAAGTTTAGGTCTTCCTCTGACAGTTTTATGCCAGACAATTGGAAAGTTTACAACACTACAGAAGTTTTGTGTTACAGCAATACTGTCATCAAGGTTGAGTACAACATGCCACCAGCCTCCAGGTATAAATACAGTCTCTCCAGGTCCCTGTAATATCTCTAACTGAAATACACAATATAAGATATTTAACAAGAGCTGTCCGTAAGACAGCGCGCTCGACTTTTTTATTGCTTGCCAATAAAAAAAGTTTTTGCAGTAAAAGGCAATACAAGAATCTCTGTATTTTTAAAGTGAACAATGGCCATGAGCATTAAGATATTTAGTGAAGAATTATTTTATTATGACATAATTTATGGTAAAGTGAACAAGTGGATAGGAATGAATTTTTTTAGATTTTTTAAGTTTTTTAGTGCTTGCCTATAATACAAAACATTGACAGTTAAGGGCCATAATTCAAATAAAATCTTTGACAGAATTACCTTCTCCTGGACATGTTTGGGAATCATGATTGTAAACAAGTATTCCAACTTTCAAATTAATATCTCAAACAGTTCAGTCAAAAAGTGGACTGGTACTAAAAACTTAACCAAGATTCTAAGTCGATAAAAGGCCTTAATTTTTAAAACAAATCCTTGACAGAGTTACCTTCTCTTGCGTACAGATGGGGTAATGATGTGAAATAGCATTAAAAGTTTCAAAGCAATATCTCAAAGGGTTAAGGCAATAAGTGGATTTTACCCATATTCAATGTATTTTCTAAGTCAAAAAGGGGCATAATTCTGTCAAAAACCTTGACAGAGTTATGTCCTCTTGTCTGTTGATGAAGGTCGTGATGGTAAACAAGTATGGTCAGTTTCAAAGCAATACCTCCAATGGTTTTGAAATAAAGTGAGGTGGTACAAAAAACTTAACCAAGCTCAATACACTTTCTAAGTCAAAAAAGGGCCATAATTCTGTCAAAAACCTTGACAGAGTTATGTACTCTTGTCTGTAGATGGAGGTTATGATGGTGAACAAGTATGGTAAGTTTCAAAGCCATACTTGTAATACTTCTGAAATAAAGTGGGGTGGTACGAAAAACTTAACCAAGGTGTGACGCCAACGCCGACGCCAACGCCGACGCCGACGCCGGGGCGAGTAGGATAGCTCCCCTTTTCATAGAAAAGTCGAGCTAAAAATTCATAAAAATTGTTATAAGGTTCATAAAAAATATTATCTCTATTTATACCTTTAATTTGTTGGCAAAGTTCAAATGAAATAATGACTCCTTTGTTAGTCATGTAAGTATTTAAATCAATTCAATTTCTCATTTTAACTAAGAATTCAAAATAAATTTTAAGCAGTCTGTTTTAATGCAAAACCTCCAAAATAATGATAATTTATAAAACTATAAAGATCATTAGTTTAAATGTACATTTTTACTGTTTAATACTTTTGTTTGTGTAATTGACTAAAAACTGACAGTAATCCTTGCTTCCCTCCCATCCTCCTTGGACAGTCAGTCAGTACTTTTTCCATCTAGAAATGCATCACCACAAAATCATACTCAAATTTCTTGATTTCAATATAATTAACATAATTTCCTAGAATTGATAAACCTCCTTAATTATACTATAGTTTTAAGGTAGCAGTAAAAAAATCTCACTGGTTTACAGTCCTTTGGCCAGGTGGGTAGTTGTGTGCGTGGATACATGACCTTGAACCATGTGACAGCCTCATCTCTTTGTTTACCCCCCTCTGATGATTTTACTTTGATCAGATCTTTTGCTGTATGAGTTGGCAATAAACACCATCTGTGACAAAATAAATAGGAAAAACTAGAACTGCCACTATCATGGCGTGAATACCCCCGCATACCACTTTGTCAGAATCAACAGTGGCCATTTAGAGCTCAAGGACAACCTCCCTGCCAAATCTGAGGTTACTAAGCCAGTGCATTGCTAAGTTATGTATTCTACATGCTTCAAATGTCAAAATCAATACATTGCGGACAGGACATTCTTTAGCAATTAAGAAGAAAAGCTTTTTTTGTCAAGGTCCCTGTGACCTTGACCTTTGACCCATTGACCTCAAAATCAATAGGGGTCACCTTATAGTCATGATCAACATCCATGCCAAATATGAAGACTGTGGGTCAAAGGAATCTTAAGTTAATGGGTGGACAAACTTTTTGAAGTCAAAGTCCCTATGACCTTGACCTTTGATCCAGTGACCTCAAAATCAAAAGGGGTCATCTACTAATCATGATCAACATCCATGCCAAATATGAAGACTGTTGGTCAAAGGAATCTATAGTTATTGGGCAGACAAACTTTTTGAAGTCAAAGTCCCTGTGACCTTTGACCTGGTGACCTCAAAATCAATAGGGGTCATCTACTAATCATGACTAACCTCCATGCCAAATATGAAGACTGTGGGTCAAAGGAATCTTAAGTTATAGGGCGGACAAGCTTTTTGAAGTCAAGGCCCCTGTGACCTTGACCTTTGACCTGGTGACCTCAAAGTCAATAGGGGTCATCTACTAATCATGACTAACCTCCATGCCAAATATGAAGACTGGGGGTCAAAGGAATCTTAAGTTATAGGGCGGACAAGCTTTTTGAAGTCAAGGCCCCTGTGACCTTGACCTTTGACCTCAAAGTCAATAGGGGTCATCTACTAATCATGACTAACCTCCATGCCAAATATGAAGACTGTGGGTCAAAGGAATCTTAAGTTAATGGGCGGACAAGCTTTTTGAAGTCAAGGCCCCTGTGACCTTGACCTTTGACCTGGTGACCTCAAAGTCAATAGGGGTCATCTACTAATCATGACTTGCCTTCATGCCAAATATGAAGACTGTGGGTCAAAGAAATCTTAAGTTATTGGGCGGACAAGCTTTTTGAAGTCAAGGCCCCTGTGACCTTGACCTTTGACCTGGTGACCTCAAAATCAATAGGGGCCATCTACTTATCATGACTTACCTCCATGCCAAATATGAAGACTGTGGGTCAAAGGAATCTTAAGTTATTGGGCGGACAAGCTTTTTGAAGTCAAGGCCCCTGTGACCTTGACCTTTGACCTAGTGACCTCAAAATCAATAGGGGTCATCTACTTATCATGACTAACCTCCATGCCAAATATGACGACTGTAGGTCAAAGGAATCTTACGTTATTGGGCGGACAAGCTTTTTGAAGTCAAGGCCCCTGTGACCTTGACCTTTGACCTAAAAATCAATAGGGGTCATCTACTAATCATGACTAACCACCATGCCAAATATGAAGACTAAGGGTCAAAGGAATCTCAAGTTATTGGGCGGACAAGAAAAAACCGACGGACAGCCGGACGACCGGACAGCCGGACGGACGGACGGACAAGCTGATTCCAGTATACCCCCCTTACAACTTTGTTGTGCGGGGGTATAAATATTTTACCCGATAGTCAAAAAAATATAAAATCATTGTATTTAAGGTATGAGCCCCCTAATGGGCACTATAAGGAACTATAAAATTGACAACATAGGTCAGTTATATATCTTAAAAGACACAAGAATGCAAAATTTAAACAAAGTTTACCGTATGGTTCACGAGTTATGGAGATTTTTCTTAAGTAAAACTTGGCTATTAGAAGGGCTCTTTTAAAGAAATGAGAAACTCTAAATATTCTATTTTATAATCATTATGAAAAAATGTTTTCCTATAGAACTATAGAACATTTTTGAGAAACAAATAATAGCATTCAGCTAACAAATGACCCAGCAAAATTATTATTTCTACTCAAAATGTCTGAAATATGTATATAAATGTTACCCTACCCCACCCATTTTAAGTACTTTTTGATCATTTTTCTACTTGAAGGGCCTTTTTCAAAGTATCCCTTAAATTTACTCAAATCAGGGGCTGTTTTCAAAGTTTGCATAAATTTTCTTAAAAGTATAGTGGTTGCGCTTGTCAAATATAAAATACTTTTACCGTTTAGTTTTTAGTTTATTTGTCTTTGAAAATATCAGGTACCATATTTGATAAAAAAATTGGCACAATTTAGCCAATAAATACCAATAATAATTTCATAATTAAAATGAAACGCTTTTCTCTTCTCAAGAGTGATATGAGAGACACAAATAATGTTCAAAGAAAGAAAAAAAAAGTTGCCGCTTTTGGGGCTTGAACCCACGCCCCTCAGTTACAATGCAGTTGACAGTAGTTCTAGCCTATTTGAATACTCTTCAAAGTGGAGGTAATGCATTAGGTGGATCATACCTTAATTTACAAACTAATAACTTGTATAAAAGTTAAAACTGCCTTTTTTTGGATGCCTCTAAAAGTAAGGTATACATGTACTAATTCACAGTATATACATAATAACATTTTTAAATATTTTTTTTGTTAAGGTTTTGACAAACTAATTCTGCTCAGTCTACTGACCTAGAATATTGAAAATTTTACACTTTATTGTATTTCCAAACTTAAAGCAGAAATGACAAAAAAGATTCTAGAAAATTTCAGTAGAAACCCTTGTAAAGGCTATTTTAATGAAGTGTTCAATCATTAGTTTCAAACCTTCCTTCCAATTTAGTTATTTGTAAAGTAAGAGAAGGTATAAAAACCAATTGGCAACACATTACAATTAAAACAAACAAATCATAAAGACAGGTTTAGTTACTTTCAATGTAATTCAAAGTAAATCATATCATATTTTGTAATCTTATTAAACCTTTAGTCTGCTGTTGGCAAAAAATTTCTGCCCATGCGACCAGATAGATGCAATCTGACCATGGTCTGCACAGTTCGCTACCCAGTCAGCACTTATTTTCAAATTTTCCTTAAATAAAAATTGGTTTTACTCACACTAAACGATGGACAAGTTCACTTAGCATAGTAAGGATTAATCATGTTCTATGTACATGAATTTAATGTTACTTATGTAAGTATCCTTGTTTATTGTTGATCTTTCTTATTACTGTGATTCATATCTCATGTAACATGACCCTTAATTGGTTTATAAAATGTATTTGTTTAGTTAGTTCAATGTATTTCAATGTGTTTACCTTTTATATCCTGTAATAAGGGCATTCCAGGCACTGGTTCCCAGAGGGTCTATATGAATACCTGTCCCTGACCTTGCTGACCCCATAACAAACCACCTGCTCAATATGATAATATTGTATGTAATACATGTTACGACGTACAATCAATAGGGAAGTAAAAGATGGATAAGATGAACTGTTTTAGGCTGATTTATTTAGGTCTCATCTATTCTCAAAAACATTTTCATAACAAATATAAAATAAAAACATTTAAAGATTGTTTAATCTTTAAAATGACACAGGACTGACATATATCATTCCCATTACTAGTTGTGTTGAAATTTCTATTCTGAGACATGCAAAATAGTATTTACAATAAAAAAAATGATTGAGTTTACATAATTCCAACAGCTAGATTTTCCAGTCTGTTCATAAAACGCTTAATTGGAAGTTTTTGTTGTAAACCTTTTACGCTTTGCTTAGTAGAGCATATTTTGTGAGCAATGAGGAGTATACATGTAGTATTGTATGTATCAATTTATACATTTACTAATTAGACAAGAGCTTTTTATGTGTCTTTTCCTGGTAATTATATAATCAATTATACCAGTAATGTAACATATACTTGTTTTATGGGGAAAAATGATGATGCTTAGAATGAATGTACTTTTAAACTGAAAATCTTCAAATCTTTAATCTAATCTAATCCTTTAACCCCACTAAATTTGAGTAATTTACTCATCCTGCGGTCCATTGTTTGCTTAAAGTTGCCTCATGATCAACAAGAGGGCCATGATGGCCCTGAGGTCGCTCACCTTCACCGGAGCGGGCCCAGTTTAAACCCCAGGGCTTTTATTTTACTACACACATATAATGTAAAATAATGATTCCCCCCCCCCCCCGACAGGGCCAATTTTAACCCAAGGGCTTTTATTTGAACAAACTTGGTAGAAACCCATAAGAAGATGTTTCATGCTAAACATCTAAGCTCTAGCTCATTTGGTTTTTTAAAAGAAGATTTTTTAAGTTTTTACTGTACACATATAGTTAAAAACAATGACACCCCTGGGGCGGGGCCAGTTTTGACCCCCGAGCTTTAATTTGAACAAACTTTGTAGACACTCACTAGAAGATGTTTCATGCTTAATATCTAAACTCTAGCTATTTGGGTTTTTTCAAAGAAGACTTTTAAGTTTTTGCTATACACATATAAGAAAATCAATGAACCCCTGGGGCGGGACCAATTTTGACCCCAGGGCTTTTATTTGAACAAACTTGGTAGACACCCATTAGAACATGTTTCATGCTAAATATCTTAGCTCTAACTCTTTGAGTTCTTTAAAAGAAGATTTTCTAAGTTTTTACTATATGCATATAGGGAAAATCACTGACCGCCTGGGGCTGGGCCAATTTTGACCCCAGGGCTTTTATTTGAACAAGCTTGGTAGACACTCACTAGAAGATGGTTCATGCCAAATATCTAAGCTCTTGCTCTCTGGGTTTTTTAAAAGAAGGTATTTAAAGTTTTTTCTTTCGGTTGCCATTGCAACCAGAGTTCTGCATGGAATTAAATTCTTTGAACAATTTTTAAAGGTGACCACCAAACGAACATTCCTGTGAAGTTTGGATGAAATTGGCTTAGTGGTTTATGAGGAGATTGCATTTAAAGTAAAAGTTTACGGACGGCCGGACGCCGGACGAAAAGCGAGCACAAAAGCTCACCCTCTCACTTTGTGACAGGTGAGCTAAAAGGGTATTTTGCCTTTTGATTACACTTGATATTAAGGCTCTATAGTGTTATTGCATAGATAAAACTTGTTCTTTCAAACCCAACTACAAGCCTCCCTCTTTGTTGTTTTCTATTGTATAATCATATTTCAACTGTGTACATTAGCAACTGCAAATTCTACATTTCTGCCATAACGTTTATGAGCTGACATATTGGTTCAAAATGTTACAACACATTCATATCATGTTTGTTGTTTACAACATTACCTATAAGGTGGCCTTTTGTCTTCACCAGCATATCTAAATAAATCATCCTGAAAGAACTTTGGCACTTGATAATCTTCTAACAAACGATTTTTCTTTGCATGCTGCAAAATAAAATACAACACACAAGATCATACAGAAATTCTAGCATGCCATTTATTTTTCCCTTTTCTTAACCAATAACCTGCCAGACCCAAAAGTTGATAAGACATTGCCACCAGTATAGAACCAGGGTAGCCTGAAAATCAGTGCAGCTTGACCAGGCTCTTTACTGTTGGGCTTATCAACTCAAATATTCATTTTGATATCAAAAATATAAAATAAAAATACAAATTGAGATGTCATTACACCAGTGTTCTTGACAACTAATACATGTATTTTCAGGGCTTGTCAAGTTGATAGTAAAATAAGAGCCTTAGTAATATAAGCATTAACAAGGAACATAGTTATGAGTCTTGGATATAAACCAAAGAATTTTTTAAGTTCAAACCGGGCCATATTTCTGTCAAAATCAATACTAGATTTATGGGCCTTTCTTTTATGCTCTCAAATAAGTGTGTGAAATTACAAGCAAATTTCATTTGTAAATGATTTGATGTTTCATGCAAAACTTTAACCGAAGTGTTACCATAACGCTGAAGCCGGTGAGTAGGATAACCCTACTATTCTTGGAATAAGCAAGCTAAAATAATAAAGTTATATATCAAAACATAATAACAAAAGTCACTTTACAAATGTACCTCTCCATAGCTACTGTCAAATATATACAATGGACTGTCATCTTTATTATTCTGCATGTATTGTGTAAAATATTTCATCTTCATCTTCACAGAATAACCCTCGTCATCCTCACCACATTTAAACTTCTGGTTACGATATTTTTTGGACAACCTCTGAAAATATTACAAAAATGTACATAACATGTGAAGAAACTTGAATATAGATAGAACTGTATCAATGGCAATTTCAGTCACATGACCTGAGACAATTGATTTTATGGCAAATGCTTAATAGTACCCGACAATTTAAATTAAACCTTATTCTAATACTTTGAACCCATATCTTCATGGTAACATGAGACCATAAAATCATTTAGAGTGAAAATTTTAAAATATCATTATGTACCAACTGATAAACGAATGGTGCAGACAATGAACAGATGGCACATGCTGACTGATCTTGGTCCCAAGTGTATATTCCATATTCTAACACGACCCGCATTTTTCCCTATTTAACATAGAAGAACCTAAAGTGCGTGTTATTATGCTATAAAATCACTATTTGACGTTCTATATTTAGACATGTGACGTAATCATTATACATGTGAGGTAACCACTATAAAATCCGACGCGCTGACAATAAGTACAGAAACAAATAAGGCGCAATTTTGCTTAGTATTAGGTATGCAGCATGTATTTGTTGATGTTGTGTTAGAATCAAAATAATATTTCCAAACCGGTGATTTTATCGCTGGATCAAATCACTGTTTGTCGTTCGGATGCGCATCATTATATCACTCGGTCTAAGCCCTCATGATATAATTCCTCGCAACCGAACACCAAACAGTGATGTTATTGAGTGATAAAATCACAGTTTGGGATATATTATTTCTTAAGCAACCAACAGGTTAATCCAACAGCATAAGTCTAGACTGAATACTTAAAAATGTTAATAAAAGCAACTTTTTCCTTTGACAGAGTTAAAAATAATGTTAATATAATAAATGTTATAATTAAATTACTTTTTGCCAACAATAAGCAATATACTTCCTTCAAAATAAATCTGTAAGATTCAATCTAAATATTCTTTACATGTAGTATTACTTATATTTTTAACAACTATCAGAGACATATCTAAAGTTTTCAACTTGTGATTTTGTAACTTACTGTACTGATATATCAAAGTAGTATTTTTCTTTTATTTAATACCTTTGAAAATAATTAAATAGCTAATTTATTTAATGTTGTCCCTATGCACCTTTTATTCATTTTCACCATGTAATAAAAGCTAGAGTCTGTTTCCCGGAACTAACAGTAGACTGTACTGCTGTCACATTAGGAAACAAGATAGTGACATGTGACAGTAGAAACTGAACATTGAGAGACAGACATTTCAACAACAAGGATAACTCTCCAATGAGGGCACCAGGGTACATGTGGGTCGATCCACTATCAATAAACTTTACAGCTTTTTCTAATGCTACAAAATGTCACTTTAAAATCTCAAAGAGATATTATGTCAGCAGCATTTAATGTCATTGCACCCCAAAATATAATACATGTGCAAAGCTTACATATTGAAATCCCTATAATAAATAACTGACGCTCAATTAAATGTAAAAACAATTGCTTAATAAAGTCCATTATAATACAAACAGTTTCTCACATCTAGAGTCCACTTCTGTTCAGCATGCCAATCATCCTGTAAATGGGTGATAACAACTGGGGTGTAGGTACGCTCATATTTATCTTGGAATTCCTCCACAGTTAATGTTCGAGCATCTACTCTTTCCACATTATCTTTAACAGAGGACTTTGACAGGTCAACTGTTTCATGATATCCATGCTTAAACCAACCATCTGGATCTGAGCTCAACTCTGTAATAACACAAAAACGTATCTACCATATTTAATTTGCACTTGATGGTAATTGTCATAATACCAAAATAAACCTACAACAAGTACAATAAATATATGCTCTGACAAATGAATCATGATCAGAATCAGATCTGACCAAATATGAATTTGGCCCATGGAACATCACAACCCTTTACAAACATGGGTCCACTTTTATTTCTGAAGTATTTGCACCTGAACTGTATCTCAGATTTTGACAAATCCTATAGTCTGACATTTGAGACAACTCTAAAAACGACTTCAGCAACTGAGAAAAAAACAGAAAGTTAGTCACAGACAAGATGCATGTCTTGGACAACAGCAAAGTGAAAATTATAGTGCATCCCTAATTTACTTTAAGGCAATTCATTTCATCAATCAAAAAGCCAATTAAATCAAAGGTGCTGGTTGATTGAAAGGATATAAAGAGATGAGACTTATAAATTTGTAGAAGTTCCTTAATTTAAGTTAATAATTAAAGAAATGCCAAAAATTATGATGGTCATTAAACAAATAAATAACCATTAATAAGCCACGGACTTCACCTTAAAGTTGAATAATGCCATAAATTACAAATTTGAAATTTTTGTTCTAGGCTGTATGATGAATTGCCTTTGGAAGACAGTAATAACTATACTAAAAGAATTATAACTAAAAGCCTAACAAAGTTTTCCCTAAGAAATGGCCCTAATACTACTACCTAATATCAGAGTTTTTGGGATTCCATTGTAGTTTAAAGAGGTTTATTTGACTTTATTGTTGCTTTTTACATCTTTTACCCAAATGGTAATTCAAAACCATCAATATTGATAATATACAGATGAAATTACTGTCATTATATTAAAGCAATTGATTTTTTTCCAACAGGACTACATTGTACATGTACATGTACTTGTACATTTATATGTGATATTGATCAGTCTGCGGTGATTTGTGACTGTGACTTTCCGCTTGCCTTTTGTTTGTTTCATTTTTAGGCCTTTTCCCAACAGTATTTCAGTCAAATAGGTGGGTAGTTTCCTAACCATTGTTCCTGGAGAGTTACACCAGTACTAGACTACCTTCCTCCGTGCTAAACTACCAAAGCATCTCCCGGGGATCAAACCCACGCCAGAGAGGTAACTGGATTAGAAGTCATAGACTCTAACCCCTCGACCACGGAGGCGGTCCCGCTTGCCTTTAAAAGTGTCCGCTCTGACAAAGCGGAAAGTGCAGAAGTTGCTTGAGCTGTACTGTTTTTGCATGTTTATGTTTACTACTAGTAGAACTAAATTCTACTACTAGGTTCAGGAAAGTTCTGTTTCATATCTACTGGTCAGGGGTCATCAACTGCACACTTTTTCAACATTTTTCCATATCAGATTTCATAATTCTAAAGCTACAGATCTGAAAATATGACACAGTACTACTAGGTACTTCTAACTAACAAACTACTGGTAGTTTGTTTAGTTTTGATGATGTTGACACCTACATTTGAGGTTTGTCAAGGAGGGTATCAAAATTATCTTAATTGTCCACACTACAGTACCATATGTCTGGACAGATACATACAGTTAAAAACTTTGGCGTTTTAATTTTTAACAATTATACAATATTTCAGAAGTAAGTGCTGAAGTTTTGGATATTCTGTTGTTTACCCTGCAAATGATTAAAGCTAGTAATAAAAGGTCAGGTATTGCACTCTTGATGTCCAAATTTTTAACATCAATGTTCTAGAAATAGACAATAAAATAATATGAAATTAGGCAAAGCCTATGAACGGGAAAGTCGATAAAAATTCCTTTCATTTTTTTCTGTTTTAAAGATGTCATTAGGTATTTCATACACCCCTTCCGTTTTCACTCAGAACGCTTGACATTTACAATTTATCCGAAAAGTTGAGATTTGTTCCGTTATCGGAATACTCTGTCTTTTATCAATGGGTTACATTGTAAATGGCGGCGCCTCACTAGGACTGACACTGAAAATCTAATTGATTGGTAAAGAATTCTATCAGTGTTTTTTTCTCTACTTTGGGAATGGGGCCGGTACCAGACTGATTGGGAAAAAAATGCGTTATTTTGACTAAAATTGGGAATTTTTTTAATGCATTTTTTCAGCTACAAATGAGATTAGACATCATGAATAAAGATAGCTAACAGCTTCTACTGTCAAAATAGAACTATTGAGTGGTGATTTATATGAATCTGTTGGATTTAAATGATCTTAGAAAAATCACTTGGCCTTGTGGGTATTTTGAACAGCCGTTTTGGGAATTAAACTTTGGAAATTGGGAATTTTAATGTCTATTTTCTATTGGGAATGGTACCGTTTTAGGGTAGTAGTTATATAAAGAAAAAAAACACTGTCTATATTTGTCAGATCTAGTCAGGTGCCACCATTTTTAATGTAACTCAAGTATAACATGCGAGGCATTCCCATAACCAACAATCCCAACTTTGCTTATTAATAATAATCCTCGAGTATTCCGAGTGAAAACGAAAGCGGTGCATGAAATGGTGTTTGGACTTTACACCTCCTAGATGTTTCATCCCTAGACGTTTCACCCTCAAAACCCTGGTCTTTTCACCTCCACTTTTTAAATTTGATAAATATATGAAATAAATACCATTATGGTTTATAATATTATATATAATATAACACATACTTGCAAACAACTACATTCATGATATAAAGAAGATTTTTCTGACAAAAATATAGTGAAATTTCCCTGGGAAAATAATTATAAATATATATGAGTTACTTATATATATTTATATCTCACTCTTTGTTAAATTAAAATTCTGAATGTATTTTGGGCTGAAGGCCTTATATTACTAAATAAACTCATTGTCATTGTCTGAAAGAATTATCAGCTATAAGTCTACATGTATATATTATTTCATTTTTTTTTTGTTATCCAAAATTTAAATACCATAAAAAAGTATTGATTGATTAAAATATGTTTTTATATAACAGATAAGAACAATTAGAAGTGTGAAACAATTTTGAATAAAGCATTATAACACTTATTTTTTTTTTTTTTTTTTTTTTATTTATACATTTTAGGAACATAGCACAAAATACAAAATATAAAATCATACAGTTAAGAGATAACATAAATAAATCATATATATAAAATGAGATCATAAAACAGCATAAAAGAGCACACTTTTGTCATAAAAAATAAAATAAGAGGTACTATGCACCTATGGATAGCCCATTAAGCTAAATGCTTATTTCAATGGGGTCCATAGAAATAAAAACTAACATAATTTTACCCTTCCCCCCCCCCCCCCTAAAAAACAAACAAGATAAAAAATAAACTAACTAACTTTGGTCAAATTTTGGTTGAAAAAGGAAATATATTTATAAAAGTATGCCTTTTTAAAATAAGCCTAGTATTACTATCACAGAAATATTTGATCACAGTGCCTAACACATTAGTTGTACACATATATATCTTCTGAAAGACTTTTATAGCTTTCTAGTAGGTACTTTTTAACAGATTTTTGTATTGCACAAAATTATTAATGGATTTTATATATTCTGGCAGATCATTCCAGTCTTTAATTCCATATAATAAAAGGTCTGTTTCATCACAGAATTACACTGGGGGACAATAAAATTAAAATTGCTTGATCTAGTATTGTAAAATCTTGCATCAGCACAACATCTAAAGTCGGCTCTAAGGTATGATGGACTCTTTTTTGTAAAAAATCTTTATACATATGATTTAGTCTTAACTTTTTACTCTGTTTTCTACATTTAACCAATTTAATTTTTCAAACTCATACACTGTTACAGAAGTTCTGGGCGGTAAGTTTTGGACAAATCTTAATACCTTATTTCTGAGTAATTTGTAACTTTCTTTTCAAATGTTTTTGATAAACCTTCATACCAAGAGGAACAAGAGTAGTCAAAATGACACTGAATCAGGGCTGAACATAAAAGCTGTTTTGTTTTAGTATCTAAAAGTCTGCTCTGCCTGTATAAAACTTGAGCTTGGCATTCACTTTAGAAATAATGTTATTAACAATAGTTTCCCCCAGATAAATCACTATTGATATAAAGACCAAGATACTTGACTAAATTAGTACCCTTTATGCTATGACCATTACATGTAACAGTAAATTGTTCTTGCTTTTGTAATTTTTCTTTTGGGGCCAAATAGCATACATTCTGTTTTACCAAGGGGAGTGACAGCTATTGTCTACGAGCCATTCTGAACAGCTTTCTAGGGCTGTCCCAAGTTTTTCTGAGATGAAATTCGGGTCTTTATGTGAGAATAAGATAGTGCTGTCATCTGCATAGAGTATTAACTTGCAATCATTATCAATACTTAAAATCATATCATTTACGTAGCACAGAAAAAGCAACGGCCCTAGAATACTACCTTGGGGGACGCCACATGTCACACTATTATATTATTATATATAATATTATAAACCATAATAAACACTGGTTTATTAATTACTAAATAAGCACCTTTAGAAGTGTGTAACTTATAGTTCTTATTAGTTTTTATAAAATAGGAAATAAAATTATATGATGAAAATAACAGTGTTTATTTTAATGTTATGTTATTGTATAGTGCATACATTGTAGATATAGTAATTGGCTCTGAATAAAATTTAGTAAATCTGATCATTTTGTTTTTACAAAAAGAGTCCATCATACCTTAGAGCCGACTTTAGATGTTGTGCTGATGCAAGATTTTACAATACTAGATCAAGCAATTTTAATTTTATTGTCCCCCAGTGTAATTCTGTGATGAAACAGACCTTTTATTATAATGGAATTAAAGACTGGAATGATCTGCCAGAATATATAAAATCCATTAATAATTTTGTGCAATACAAAAAATCTGTTAAAAAGTACCTACTAGAAAGCTATAAAAGTCTTTCAGAAGATATATATGTGTACAACTAATGTGTTAGGCACTGTGATCAAATATTTCTGTGATAGTAATACTAGGCTTATTTTAAAAAGGGCATACTTTTATAAATATATTTCCTTTTTCAACCAAAATTTTGACCAAAGTTAGTTAGTTTATTTTTTATCTTGTTTGTTTTTTAGGGGGGGGGGGGGGGGAAGGGTTAAAATTATGTTAGTTTTTATTTCTATGGACCCCATTGGAAATAAGCATTTAGCTTAATGGGCTATCCATAGGTGCATAGTACCTCTTATTTTATTTTTTATGACAAAAGTGTGCTCTTTTATGCTGTTTTATGATCTCATTTTATATATATGATTTATTTATGTTATCTCTTAACTGTATGATTTTATATTTTGTATTTTGTGCTATGTTCCTAAAATGTATAAATAAAAAAAAAAAAAAAAAAAAAAATAAGTGTTTATAATGCTTTATTCAAAATTGTTTCACACTTCTAATTGTTCTTATCTGTTATATAAAAACATATTTTAATCAATCAATACTTTTTTATGGTATTTAAATTTTGGATAACAAAAAAAAAATGAAATAATATATACATGTAGACTTATAGCTGATAATTCTTTCAGACAATGACAATGAGTTTATTTAGTAATATAAGGCCTTCAGCCCAAAATACATTCAGAATTTTAATTTAACAAAGAGTGAGATATAAATATATATAAGTAACTCATATATATTTATAATTATTTTCCCAGGGAAATTTCACTATATTTTTGTCAGAAAAATCTTCTTTATATCATGAATGTAGTTGTTTGCAAGTATGTGTTATATTATATATAATATTATAAACCATAATGGTATTTATTTCATATATTTATCAAATTTAAAAAGTGGAGGTGAAAAGACCAGGGTTTTGAGGGTGAAACGTCTAGGGATGAAACATCTAGGAGGTGTAAAGTCCAAACACCATTTCGATTCATGAAATACCGAATTGCACCTTTACAACAGAAAAATGAACAATTTTTTAAACTGACTTCCCAGTTCTTAGGCTTTGCCTAATTTCATATTGGAATAAACATGGGTGAATTTTCTTTTTAAAAAAAAGCTACTGATTGATCGACAACCACTAAACAAAGGAAAAACCTAAATCACCTTATCAGGCATTTTCTTGGTCGTACAGGTTTGATGGTTCAAATTGTCCAATTTTGGTGGTCCCCAACCAGTATAGTTTATTTTATGCTTGTCATCAGAGCAACAGATAAGCTTTAAAAGTGAATTGGGTATTACTCCATCTTTTCTTTTGGAATTGGGTATTGGCTCCATTTAATTGGGTATTCCAAAACTCGATACCCTATGATTTCAAGATCAATTGGGTATTCAATTATGAAAATTTTATGGTTTCAATATAAATGAAATTTTACTGTTTTAAAAAGAAAATAGGATTAACAATTTACTAGAACTTTTCACAATTGTTTTATTTTTTATATAAAATGCTCAAGTTATATTTCATAAATTTTTTTTTAACAAGTTCGTTTTCTGACTGATTTTTGATTATTTACGATTGTTTTGTTTCAAATCATTTTCCCTTTTGTACGACGCCATATTGCTTTCAAAGCGTCTATTAATACAGGTGGGACCTACTTATTGACGGTCTCCACAAAATTAACGTCTCTGCCGGTCTGTGAAGACCGTCGACCTGAGTAGACAAACGACGGTGTCATGCTTTATTGATTTGACTTAGTCGGTCTTTGGAGCGGGGACCGTCGAAAGACCGGAGACCGTTTATTAGTTAGCATTGATTCGGGAATATTCGGATAGCATGCATATCGCTATTATTTGTCCAAAACTACGTGCATACGACAGATTAATTTTACGGTGATGAAAATGACAATACGCACAGGTTTTTAAGACAATTGCGTATTTTATTTTTTTTAATGGGTTTTGATACGCATTCTTAAAAAATCAATTGCGTATTTTATGAAATTAATTGCGTAAATACGCACCTTATCTGTTGCTCTGTTGTCATTATCATTACAGCCTTCAGTGTTATTTGCAGAAATAATTTCATGAACGATTATTTTGTAAAAAGTTGACTTGGGGGTCGAATTGACCAAGAGACGAGTTGACTCGAAATTGTTAGAAATTGGCCGTGAATAATTTCAGATGTTCTCTATTTAAGTTATATCAGTTCAATGGATCTATCATATAAGTACCTGGTCGAGCTTTTAACTTTGCTTCCCTCACACGTTTTCTTGTTCTGTGGTCCATTCATACGGAAAAACGCAGTATTTCAAAGACTATTTTTCTGGAAAATTTTGGTTGCACCAATTTCTACGACAAAGTGTTTCGCACGTACGCACATTTCCGGTAGTTACTCGATTTATGCATAGATATTAAATCAAAGAATGAATCGATTAAATGTAAAGCAATTTCACTAGCTACTAGCTAGAACTGTTAAAGGACAAAATGTTCATCTACGGGATCTAGTCTAGTATATTGGAACCCAAAACTAAACGAATATGCATGCATTTTTGTTACTATGCTTTTTGTCTTTTTGTTTTGTTGCAGTTTTCAATATAGACATACACAAACTCTTGGGGAATGTGGGGACAGCAGCCCAAAAAAGCAACTGTATATTGTTTGTTTAAGAATACTTTGGTATATGTATGAATAAAAAATTTAATTAAATAATATTATGAGTTTTGTAAATTGTCTGATAGAACATTATTCTCAAGATATTTAATAAACAATCAATCGCAAGTTTCCGTCGTCTGAATGTTGATGCCATAGGATTTAGGCGCGTTGATTGGTCACTACCCTCGGGGCAACCCCCCCCCCCCCCCCTCACCCACTCTAGAACCCTCCTACCTCTCATAACCATGTAAACTGCAGTTTTTATCATTTTAAATATGTTTTAATATTTGGTATATGCTTTTAATTCAGTTAGATATCTACCTTCATCTCCCACAAAAATAAAAAAAAATGATATATTTATATTTAGTAAAGATATATGACTCGCCGCTCATTTGTCAGCGCTCATCTTAATATGAACTTCATATAACTCCAACATTTTTTCACCAATTTTCAATATCTTGGTACCAAATGGTAGTGAATTGATTACTCTTAAAGGAATTTAAGCTGTCATTACAATCATTTCAAGTTTTAAGAAGATATGTAACAATGGTAGGATACTACGTCATCGCGCACCTGCTGAATGCTCCCACTTGGACCAATTTTTTGTCGACTCGAAGTTAAAATACAATTTAATTATAAGAAAACGTAAGAGTATCAAGAAATCATGTAGCGCACCAAAGAATGGCTATAGTACTTTAGATAATTGTAAAATAAGTTTATAGATTCATTGCCTGGTTTAGGCCTGAAAAAGGGATAAGTGTTTTTCTCTGAATGCTCCCACTCGGACTTTTTTCCCGAAACATATAAGAAATAAGGTTGAAAACCCTCTTTTGAAAATTTATTTCTAACGTACCGGCATATTACCGAGTCATGTTTACACATTTTTCTAGATTAGTTTCAAAATATTTT